CTTCCCAGGCTCAGCTGGGCTTGTAGTTAGTATACCAAGCTCTAGAAGCATGAGCCCAAAGACCCACAATAGTTACACCCAGAGTGCCACAATTCCTACACTTAAATGTGTATGAATTTATTTAATCCCCAACAAGCGCAGGTCTGTCGGAAACGAGAAACAATGCCCCTCCCCCAGCACCAAGCTGCCTTAAATGAGAATTTATGGAAAGCATGGTACTTTAAACAATTTCTCCCTGACTCCCACCAAATGCCTATGAGTAATTTAAATCTTAGCAGGACTTTAAAAAGGTCCACCTCGGCCAGGAATGGGTTACCACAAAAGACAGTTGTCTATGCAAAAGCCCGCTGCTAGCCAATTAGCTGGGAACCTCCCAAAGCCAAATCTTGAGATGCGCCTACCAACTGAGACAAGGACTAGGCAATTAAGCCCATTCCGGCCAATTGCTGTGGTTTCTGTCCAGGGACAGCCGACAGATGTGCATCAACATTCTCTATGGGTCAGCGTGCAGGCGGAGGACAAATCTCTCTGGCATGACCAGCTCAGAGACTAGGAGGGGCAGAGACAAAGAGAGCCACTCAAGGCATCCCAGTGAATATAGCTCAGGACTTTCAGGCCTGCTGGTTGGACCCCATCAGCACTGGCTCACCACTCATTTCATGCTGGGTGACCGCAGGCAGTAATTAACGATTACCCAATGGCACCAATTAAAGCCAAGGGAAAGGCCCTGTTGGAGGCACTGACTTTGAGACAGGGAGGGTGGATGAGGGGAAGGTCCTCTCTCACTGGGTATGCAGAGATAGAATATGCTCGGGGATGCCACAGGAGATTGAAAAAGAAACTAGAATTTCCTTAGCCTCTGCCACTCCCTTCATAATGATGGTTGGTACTTGAGACCAGGCACAAGTGAGGGGCTTGGGATCTGGACAGGATTTATTTGGAGATCCCACCCTGGTTACCAGATTTTTAGAGAAGTCGGCATACACTGCCACTATGGCTGCTTTGCTCGTTAAGAGAACAGATGGATCCCTTTTCATTTTTAAGGACACACCGAACTAAGAAGCAGCAAGGAGCACCAACCCCGAGCGATGAGACCACACAGTGATTCAAACAGGACCTTGATCCATGAATTTAGATAAACGCCTGAGCCATGCTGTCTGAGATCCTTCATTTCCTAAGTAAGGATAATGATACATTTCTGTCCCCCTCATTGGGCTAGTGGGAGACTCAACTGGGACAACATACACCGAAACAATCTGTTAGGGACAATTTCATAGTAGGAAAAGAAAACACTGATGTCATAGAGCTCAGCCATCAATTGCCCAGCTACAGGATACTGGAAAAAAGTCATCTTACAACTCCAAATCTAACCAAAGCAATGTACCCAAAGCCCGGGGAAGCTGGGCATGGTGGCACATGCCTGAAATCCCAGAGGCTAATGAGGGTGAGGCAGGAGAATCACAAGTTCAAAGCCAGCCGCTGCAACTTATCAAGAACCTAAAACAACCTAGCGAGACCCTGTCTCTAAATAAAATATAAAAAAGGGCTGGGGATTGGCTCAGTGGTTAAGTGCCCCTGAGTTTGATCCCTGGTATCAAAAAAAAAAAAAAAAAAATCCAAGCCCCAGGAAACTCTCACAGAAGCAATGACATCTGCATATGACCTCCAAGCTTCCCGACCTCTCTGGGCTCATCTGTGGGCCTCTGGCAACCCATCAATCCCCAGATTGAAGGCGGCTGCCCACGGGAGCATGACAAGCAGCAGCCCAGACCTCAGCTAACATACCTTGAGAAAGAATGTTTCAATGTCACCAAGACAGTTTTGAGCTGATTTAAAGTCAGAAAATGCATTGTTTCTTAGGTTCATTGTCATCGTCATTATCATTGTCACCGCAGACGGAACAGCACACGTGGTATAACTATTTTTCAAGCAGTATTTAAGGGCGATCCGCTCCCACGTCCTCTGCAGCACTTTCCTGAATATATTCTGAGCTGTATGTAGCTTGTTCCTCCCAAGTTTATCCTCCATATGTTCCCATCTACTTCCTGTCTTTCAGAATTTCACCAGCGTCTCTGGGCACCGAGGCCACCCCTGCTGTTCTCAGCACAGTCGTGGACTGCTCTCCTTTCCCTACTTCTGCTGTCATTCCAGTGGGATTCAGGAGACGAGGAGGCAAATGCAAACTCAGCAGTCAACCAGAATCTCCTTATTTCTTTAGTCATGAAAAGGCCACATGGGAGGTTGCAGCTAGGTTTGCTGTTGCTATGGCAAGTCCAGCCATCGACCCAAATGCCCATCAGCAGCCCAAGGGCCAGCATGCATGAAAGACAACCTTCCAGCCACAACCCAGGGTAAGGTAGGAGCAGCCCAGGTCTCAGCGGATACATCTGGAACAGGAACGTCATAATATCAATTCTCAGCAGACTGTATGTCCCTCCTGTGACCCAGGTGGTTGGTGTCCCTGCCTGGGAAGCTGCTCCGTCTCTGCTCTTTGCACAAGTGTGATACTCCCTTCATGTTCCAGTGTGTCCCTGAATGTGTGTTTGCACTTGAGAGGCAGCATGGCACAGAGGTCAAGAAGCAGACAGGCTTTGTGACTGTGAACAAATTCCCTGATCTTTCTGTGCCTCGTGTCATCAACTGTATTAAAAAAAAAAAAAAAAAAAAAAAAAAGAATGATAATCATTCAGAGGGTAGGCATGAAAATAAAATAGGTTAGTACAGATGAAGTGAATTAGAAACATGCCTAGTGAGCCCTGTAAGTGCCCAATAGATCAGGCAAATGAGGATGGGGATGAGGGAGTGCTACAGACTGAATGTTTATGTCCCCCTGAAATTCACATGTTGGAGCCCTCACTCCCTACGTGATTGATAGAACTTGGAGGTGGACCTTAAGAGACCATTAGATTCATATGAAGTCATGGCAGGGGATTAGGGTCCTTATAAGAAGAAGAGAGACCAAAGCATACCTGCTCTCTCCACCATGCAAAAAGGATGCTGTCTGCAAATCAGGAAGAGAGACTTCACCAGGAGCCAAATCTGCAGGCACCTGGATCTTGGGTTCTCCAATCTCCAGAACTACGAGTGAAATGTCTTTTCTCTAAGCTACTTAATCTGTAGTACTTTGTTATAGCAGCTTGAACTAACTAATACAAGGGGTATTGTATTACATATTAAAGATAGAGATACAAAGAGACAGAGAGAGAGAGAGAGATATGTATCATAAGAAATTAGCTCAACAATGGTGGGGGCTAGAAAGTCTGAATTTTGCAGGGCAGCCTGACAGGCTGGAGACCCAGGCAGGAACTGGTGCTGCAGCTGAAATCTGAAAGCAATCTGCAGCAGGATTCCCTCTTCCTCAAGGGAACTCAGTCTGTCCTCAAGGCTTTCAACAGGTTAGATAAGGCCCACCACACAAGGGACAGCAATATGCTTTACTCAAAATGTATTGATTTAAATGTTAACCTCATCTAAAACCTTTTTTCACAGACACACACAGCCTGGTGTTCTACCAAATACCTAAGTACTGTGGCCTAGCTAAATTGACACTCACAGGTGAGTGGCAGAAGTTTCACACAGCACATCAAGTGGACTTCAGTGGCAGACTCAGCACATACCATATGCTCAAAATGCCATAAGAACCACAGTCTCTGGAGCCTCCAGTGTCTAGAGCTGTCAAGGGTGATGGCAGAGGGTCACACAAGCCCATGTCATTAGCATACACAGCACAACCGCTATGCCAAAGCAGAAGATAATCCTGCTTTGAGGATGAGTACAGACTTGGAGCCCTGCATGTTGAACAGTGTCTGCGAGGTTCCCACCCAGGCCTCTGCCCTCCTGGGCGTTACGCTTTCTAGTTAGTGCTTTGACGGCAATGGTCTCCTTTGGTCTGCATGGCCACGAGCAGAGAAGGCTAGGTTGGGATCATCATGCCCATTTCACAGAGGCCTGGTCAAGACTAGAGGCCATTTCAAATAAAGACAGAGTCTGGACCCATGTGCAGCTTTTCTGGCTCCTGTGTTAGGGCATGCCATGAAACTGTCCTTAAAGCCTACAAACTGGGCCAGCCTTGCTTCTGGGGGGTGGAGACCAAAGGAGTGAAGAGGAAGCAGGAGCAGATGGTCCCCGACTTACTTGAGATTTTTTCCTTTACCAAGGTGTGAAACAATACACATTCAGCAGAAGCTGAGCTTTGAATATTCAATCTTGATCTGTCCCTAGGCTAGCAATGTGCATTGGGATACTCTTGCTATGTTCATCTGTCAACTTATGGAAGTGTTCTGAGCACATTTAGGTTAGGCTCAAGTATGCTGCTCGGTAAGTTAAGGGTATTAAATGCATTTTTAATTTATGATATTCTCAGTTTACAACAGGTTTATTGGGATACTACACCATTATAAGCCAGGGAGTATCTGTATATTAGTTCATTTCCTATTTCCAAAAACACACAGCCAAAGGCTGGATAGGTTGTAAAGAAAAGAGGTTTATTTTAGCTCACAGTTCAGGTCCAAAGTCAAGTACCTGGATCTGGTGACAGCAGAGTCCCAAGGTGGCACAGGGCACCATCACATGGCAAGAGACAAGGATCTTGTGTGTGTGTGTGTGTGTGTGTGTGTGTGTGTTCTGGCCCCTCCCTCTCATAAAGCCATCAGCATTTAATCATGGGACCTTCACCCTAAAGACCCTATGCAATCCCAATGCCTTCCCTCTAAACACCACAGTTGGATTAAGTTTCTACCCTCTTAATACCTCACAATGAAGGTAAATTTCAACATATGAAATCTGGAAGGACACTTTCAAACCACTTGAGACCATAGTAATGTATATTCATGTTATTGTCTCAAACAAGTCAGTTCCTCCAACTGGGCCTCCATTTGTTCATAGGCAAAATGATATGACTAAGCCATGGGCTGGTAAGATGGAAACCCTCTCTCTTTCCTCCTAATATATATCCTTCCCAGTCTGTTACGTAGTAAGCTTTCACAAACACTGGAACTGAATTGGGTGATAAGAGACTGTATTAGTTTGCTCTGACTGCTGTAACAAATACACACTAGGTGCCTAAACCACGGAAATTTATTTTCTCAGAATTCTGTAGGCCAGAAGTCCAAGATGAAGGCATTGGCAGGACAGGTTTTTCCCGAGGCCACTCTCTTTGGCTTGTAGATGATAGTCTTCTCTTGTCTTCACACAGTCTTCCCTCAGTATGTGTCTCCATCTTAATCTTCTCTTCTTATAAGTCACATTGGACTAGGACTCAAACCAAGGATCTCACTGTAACTTAATCACCCTTTAAAGGCCTTATGCCCAGGTAAAGTCATATTCTGAGAAACTGGGGATTAGGGCTTCAACCTGTGAATTTGGGAGGAACACAATTCAGCCCAAACCAAAGGACTCATTGGTGTCTAGTGTCCTGTCAGCTCTGACAGTAGATTTATCTGCTGGTGAATCATGAACTTTGGCTGGCCTTTCCCCCCTTAATGAACAGCTCTGGGATTGTGAGCATGTTTGGGCACTGCAAAGGTATCCTGGAATCGGTCTCTAGCCTTGGCAGGGTTGGGCCTGGGAAACATGACTACTGGTCCATTGATCCATCCATACAATGGAAGACTCAGCAAAAAAAGAGTGTACTGTGTGTATATAACAAGGCAGATTCTCAGAACAGTATGGTATTCTTGGCTGTGGCAAGAATAATAAGGACCACACACTGTCTTTGATGTAGACACAATGATAAAACTTCTTAGAGGTCAAATGGATACATCATTTGCTTTTTATTTTAAATAGGAAATTGTTTTCAAAACAAGTGAGCTGGGTGCTGTGAGCATGTCTGTAATCCCAGCAACTTGGGAAGCTGAGGCAGAAGGATCTCAAGTTCAAGGACAGCCTCAGCAATTTAGCAAGACCCTGTCTCAAAATTAAAAACCAAATAAAAAGAAGGGGTTGGGGACGTAGCTCAGTAGTAAATTACCCCTGGGTTCAGTCCCCCTGTACTGGAAACATAAACAAACAAATAAAACAAAAAAACTTGAATTATCAAAGCAATGTGCTGAGTACAAGAAGCCCCCCAAAAGTTCATACTGTATGAATACATTCATGTACATCCAAGAATCACAGAAAGCAGGTCTGGAGGTACCTGGAGAGGGAGTACAGGAGGAATGGAGGGGTTCACAGAGCTGCCTGCCTGGTGGGCATGGTCACAGTCTTGATTGTGGTGATGTCTCACAGGTGTAGACCCCTGTCAAAAACACAGAATAGCTCCAAATGTGTGGTTATCACGGGTCATTTGCACCTTCATAACTGCTAAAAGCAGCTGGAGGAATGGCAACTGATTTACCAGAGAGACAAGTCTTCAGGCTACTGAGAGCAATGACATAGAGTAGAGACCATGGGCCCGTAGATCTCAGAGAAGTTCTGGGACCCAGAGAGCAGGGGTGAAAGGGGAGAGATTGCATGCAGAGGAGGCTAAGGAGGTCTGCACCCAAAGCACCTGCCTCCTGGGTCCCTCCCCACCATCCACTGGTACCTAGCTCCCCTGAAATGGGACTCAGGACAAAATGAGCCAGCCTGAGAAAAGTCTCTGAAAGTCACTGTCCTTTACCAGCTGCCTAAGGCACAGAGAGGACAAGAACATGGGCCTCTACTCTGGCCCACCTACCTCAAAAGTAGATTCCAGTTGTGTCCAAGAGCAGGTGCCTCCGCCTGTGCATTCTGGATCTTCCCTCAGGCAGACAGTAATAGCCTGGCTGTAGGACTCAGCACTTGGAGCAGGGCCTGGTGCCTTAGCAGGATCTGTGACTGTTGGCACTTTGGTCTAAGGACGAGGCATCTTTGAGAGTCCTCTTCCCCTGCATCCTTGCTGCCCTAAATGTATCTCCTCTGTGTCTGTCCTCAGGATCCCCCTGGCTTCAGAAGTTGAATCTATCTATGTTCCTGAACTCCAACCCAACAGCTTCCAAAACACCCTTCACAGATCTTCAAAGCATTTGACTTTCCCTCTTTTGATCCCCCTTCTCTGCCCAGGTCTGTATGTGTACACCACTCCCACCAGGCATCAAAACCCACAGAGAGTGCATTGCCCACACCTGCCCCCTGCCCCCTGAGGGGAGAGAGTGGCCACCTCCTTGGGAGGTTTCCTTGTTGGTATATCTAATTGCATTTTGATGACATCCGTTTCATTATTTAGTTTTTACCTAGAGGATTTGAAGGAAGATCTTTGTTTACATGAAAACAATTGCAATCTGTAAACTAGCAACTGTTGGTGTCAAAAACATAGATCTGAAGGTAGATAGGTGCCAATGTTACCTGATGTTCCAAAGAAGGTGTGAGAGAGGGTCCAGCTGTTGAAGACCGCCTGTCAGGGGATTGTAAACATCTCTCCACTGGCCTGCGCAGCCTGGGAGTGGGGAGAAGAAATAGGAAGGGGAAGAGGAGGAGATGAGGCACCTGCTAGCTCCTAAGCACACTTTCCCTCAGCCCTCGCCCCACACTGCAAGCTTTCCTCTGACTGCACAAGACTGTTGATTTGAAGGAGCACAAAAAGGAGAGACTGAAGGGTACAAGGGGGTCCTACTGGCATCATTTTACCTGCGTTTGAATCCTGCTTCCTCTGCTTAGTGATTGACCTCAGGTAAGGTGCTTAACTTCCGTGCACCTCCGTGTTCCCATGGTGATATTAAAAGTCCCTTTCCCATAAAATTATTTAAAAAAAAAAAAACAGGATAATCTATACTCTGTTCTATTGCTTGCTTTATCTAGTCCAACTTTTTTAAATTTTCAGGTTGAAGAAACTAAACAGATTGAAAGATTGCTCCCCCAAGGGCAAAGGACTACTTGTAGGGACTAAATCTGAATCTCCAGATTACTAATTTAAAAAAAAACTTCCCCCAACAGTGAAGTTTCAATGGCTGTAAGCACACTCTATTAAAATGCAAATGTTCCCCAGGGAGTCTAACGCCAGGTTATTAGCACCCCAGTGTTAGTGATGTGAATCCAGTTAACAAACATCTTTTTTTCTTTTTCAAATTGAACTCCAGTTAGAAGGGGGGGGCGGGGGTGGACCTTATGGCAGGGCCTTTGGCAGCTCCTCTCACAGGACAGATTGCCTCACGAACAAAAGTGTCCCTCTCCTGAGAGTGTGGAACAAGTTAGAGATTCATGCTCAAGCACATGAAAACTGCTGTCCCCAACATCCTACTTTCAAGGTCTATTTCTGAGAAAGACGCTAGAACTCTGCCCAAGATCCAAAACTGGAGTCTGCATTGGGCATGGGTGACCACGCAGGCACAAGTTCCTAGCAGCTGTCCAGGAAGTGAGAGGAGGTGGGCTAGACAAGACTATGCTTCCATTCATTCACTCTTCAACTCATGAAGCTGCTTATTGTAAGCACCAGCCCCATGCCAGAGATGGGTGGCAGTTCCAAACCTCGGACAGGAATGCTCCTCAGCCTGGTGGGCTTCTGGTAGTAAGGGAGATTAACCCAGGCCAAGATGCAGCCTGAAAACCCACTGATGATCCTTCAGGACCCTCCTCCAAGGAAGGAAATATTATAGCTTAAAAAAAAATAGAAGTTTCTCCCTTTGCCCTGCTTCTTAGAAAAAAAAAAATAATAATAGGCTGTTTTTCTTCTTAATAAAAACTTCTAAGTTTAAACCCACTTCTCTGAGCTCCTTATTGAAGGAACAGTGGCCTAGAGAAAATACAGGAGGAAAATATTCTGTCCAGGAGAGCACGCCATCTTTTCATTCTCCAACTCCCTTTTCCAAGGTGTAACAATGACTTCAGAATAATATTTCATTTGATCCTCATGAATTCTATGGAGGCTAAAGAGTACCAAGTGTATGTTCATTAGCTAAGGCCAAAACAAGGGCAGAATCAGGATTTGAAGCTAGCTCTGGCTGAGCCCAGAGGCCAGGGTTTCCAGGTGGTGCTTCCCTGCCTCCCCAGGAACAACCAGAGGTCTCCACCCCAGCATGCACCACCCCACCCCTTGCCCCTTAGTGCCCTCTCTATTCGAATGCATCAAGTGTCTACTGCACCAAGACCCTCTCCCCAGCAAGAGTGGTCCTTACTCATCTTTCATAGTTAACTAATCGTCCAGCATCTCCACCAAATAGTCTCTATTTAAGAAAATTCTCATACCCAAAAGCCATGGTGAACTCACTGACGCTTTTAAATTAATCCACACCTTAATAATCACAACAGCACTATTGATAAACAGTCTCCTGGGGAAACATAACCCACTCACTCTATCGAAGACCCTTCGTATGATTAAGAATTAGAAAAATCCCTTAAGGTAATTCACTTTGAAGTCCCTAGGGACTGGGACTGACTCAGGACACTGCTTTCCGTTCCTTGATCTCTGCACCCACCAGTCCCGGGAGATCTGGTATTTGGAAGACGGTGCGCATCCTTGTCTTGTTTGCTTTGGGCTGGAGTCTCACCCGCAGTCCTCAGCGCTGCCCAGCCCTGGCCTGGTCTCTCAGCCAAGGGGCCCGGGAGGCCAGACGTCATTCTTTTCATAGCAACAAACAACTCAATTGCAAAAGCAGCCTCTGACAGTTTTTGATACCGCACAGAACCCTTAACAAGTCTTTAAAGGGACCCCAGGGAAGTGGACGTTAGTCCTGCCACTTTCTTCAAGAAATTGAGGGTCAGTGAGATTCAAGCAACTTGCAGCTGGTCGCCAAGCTGAGGGGACAAGGAGCCTCCGATCCCTGCCTGCGGTGACGTTCCTGCCCCTGCCATCTGCGCTCCTGCTGCACGGGCCGGGTCGGGGCTGGCTGCGGGCGCTGCGCGCGCACAACCTGACTCCGCAGCCCTGCAGTGGGTGAGCTCCGCACCAGCACGAAAGGTCAACCCGTTTGGTGACCCGGACTGTTCCGCTCTCCATTTCCTGTCCCAGCGTACTCAGGGCGGTGGGAACCACTGCTGACAGAGCTAAGGCTGCCCGGAGCCGCCTGGGGAGGGAGGCAGTTGCCCAGGGCATCCCCGCCAGCGCAGCCTGAGCGCGCCGTGGACCACTCGCCACCCAGTGCTTCCCGGGGCTCTGGACAAGAGCACCCTGCACCAAGGCCAGTGCTGACTTCATGCGCTCTGGGGCCTTGTCTTCCCTTCCAGGACGTCCCTTACAAGAGCCCCCCACACCTACAACAGAAGCCCACCTGCGGGGGCCCAGGGCAGCATCCCAACCCAACCCCCTCCCAAGGGCTCTTCCTCACCCCACAAAGCGGCAGAGGCGACTCCCCCGCTCTAACATTAATCTTGAGTGCTCTCCAAACCCCGGAGGTTAATTGCCAAGCAAACACTGCCTAATAAAGAAGTGTCTCTTTTCCCTACCAATATGACTGAGACTGGGACAGAATTTGCACCTTGAGGCCCAAAGGCTGTAGCCCATCTGGTGTTTCTCCCTCCCGCTTCTTCACTCAACAGTTTCAGGCAGGAGATGGCCAGCTGGACTGAGGCCTCTGGAGACCCCGCCCCCCTTTTAAGGGCTGATGGGGGCCATCTGTGCCTGAACTCTGGGAATTGGGCAGGCAGTGCCCCGGGCCTCCAGGGGCCTCCAAGCTGTGAGGAAATTCTGCCAAGCTCCTAGCACCTCCTGTAAAGCCCCTGACACTAAAAATAACCCGCAATTCCCCTACCTTCCCCCACCTGCCTGAATCAGAGAGCAAGCGCCAGACAGTCTGATTTTCTATAATGCACCCTGGGAGATGCAGTTGCTGGTGCAGGAAAGAAGCTTCTGCTACTGATTTGGACGCTCCTGGTGGTATCCAGACAATTCAGGGTGGGACACAGGAGAGATGGAAAGGGTGAGGAGCAGAGACCAGGAAAATGCCACCAGTTCCCTACTATGCCACCAGTTCCCTACTTGGATAGGAGGAATGTCAACAAATAGGGAAGGGGCCAAGAAGGGATCTCCCAATTCCACAGATACCAACTTCACCTTCCCACAGAATTCTAGAGCCGTGACTAGGTCATATTAAACAATCTATTACATAGAGGAGAAGGGGAAATAGGAGGATGGGAGACCTATGTGGGAGGGGGTCTTCAGGTACATTTTGAGGACTCTGATATGATGGCATCCCCACCTGCATAGTATAAGAGTATCCCAAAGACCCTCTCTTCCTCCTGAAACAAGTGAAATTGGAGTCCCTGGGTGGAGTGGGTGGGGTGGGGTGTTGTGGGTGAAGCAGCAAGTCTAGGTATTAGGGGAAAGGTATCAGTTTGCATAAGACCATTTTCCTGTGTTCTCCCTCACCTGAACTTTCCTCTCCGGCTTCTTCTCTCTATAGGTATGATGAAGCTGTAACTCCAAGGAGATGGGTTCAAAGAAGGATTGATCCACTTAAAGATCCGAGCCTCCTATGCTTATTTCTTCATTCATTTTTGTTGTTGTTGTTGTTGTTCATTTCAAGGTGAGGGGAATACCTGTAGCTGCCAAAAAGAATTCACACTGGAAGGAGTCCCTCCAGAGAGATGGGTAAATGTTTGGGATACTCCATCATACCTCAAAATAAATCCAACAGATGGTGCAGAGTCCTTTATATCCGTTATTAGTACTGAATGCTTTCCTGTATCAATGATTCCAAGAGCTTCATATATTTACATAGGTGCACCTTATGACTCTTTTTTATACTTTTATGTTTTTATTTATTTTTTATGTGGTGCTGAGGATCAAACCCAGTTCCTCACACGTTCTAGGCAAGTGCTCTACCACTGAGCCCCAGCCCCAGCCCCAGCCCACGACTGTTGTTCAAGTAGGAACTATTTTTTATTACTTTCATTTTGCAGCTAATGAAACTGAGGCATACAGATACCAGGTCTCTTGTCCAAAGTCTCATGCTCAGCAGTCTGAGTGAGGGTTAAGCCAGGAAGTCTGACTTAGAACCACAGGCTTAACATCATCCTGAAGGTATCTCAGGTAGGAGCCACAAAGTGTCCAAGGGTAGACGGACAGACAGGGAGAAGTGCATCATTGAGATGCTTCACATCCTGGTGTGTTAGGATGATGGCTGATGCTGGCCCCAGCCAGGCCAGAGCCACCGGAGGTGCCCAAGTGTTGCTCTGCCTTGAGTCCCTCTGATCCCTCTCCTTACAAGACACCTGGAGGCTCTTTTGAGAGCTGCCCTTGGAGCTCAGCTGACATGGGGCTTCTGAGAGGCAGTCTTCCAGTCCACCCTGGGTGTGTGAGGTTAGCCACGCCCTGGATACAGGAGAGCTGATTTTCTCCAAAATCCACCTGTGACGGTTAATTTCAGATGTTGATTTGACCTGGTTAACGAACTGGGACTGAGCCCATTACCAGCATCCCAGGGTCTCCAGCTCACACATGGCCTGGTGTGAGACTTCTTAGCCTCTATAATTGTGTGAACCAGTTGCCTAATAATTTCCCTCTCGTCTATCAACTGATCAATTGATGACCAATCAATTGATAGATAGTTCCTATTGATTCTCTCTAGAGAACCCTGATACACCACCTTTATATTTTCAATGCTGTTTTGTGGGGTGTTTGTTGCTTTTTGTTTGGGTACTGAAGATTGAACCCAGGAGTGCTTTTCCACTGAGCTACATCCCCCAGCTCTATTTTTATTATTTTTAGACAGAGTCTCAAGTTGCTTTGGGCCTTTGTAAATTGCTAAGGCTGACCTGGAACTCGAGATCCTCCTGCCTCAGCCTCCCAAATCTCTGGGATTACGGGTGTGGGCCACTGTACCAGCTCTAATGCAGTTTTGCTCTGAGCTGATCTTCTAAAATCTCCCCCATATCATGTCTCTGCCTTCAAATCACCTAGTAACATCTGCAGAGCCAGTTTCCTGTCTGTGGGCATCTAGAGGACATAAGATACACTCAGAAGATGCTGGAAAAGAGAAGGTGCTCACAACATTAGCTGCTAGGAAAACTGGGGTTGCAGGTGAGGGTGAGGAGGAAACCTAGGAGTGTTCTCAAACAGGGGAAGGCGGGGCGCTTAGAGCTGTGTTCAAAGTCATGCTCGCTGCAGTTACAGCTGTCGCTAACGCAGTGAGGGCTCTAGGCCACACCCATTAGCTCTGGTCCAGTGAATGGCGAGGCATGGAGTGAACTGGATGAAAGAACTACAGACACTTGGGCAAAACTATGTGAGAGTGGAAATTGCCTGCGCTGCCCAAACAGACTTTTGCAAGGAGTAATTCCTTGAGAAAGCTTCGCCCATTGATCACGTGTGGAAAATGGGCACATACTGCATGTAATCAAAGACGAATCTAAGCCCAGAGATAGCAGATACCCTGCCAGCTTCATGGCCCGACGGGATGGGATGAGCCAACCCAAGAAAAGACCAGTCGGGTGGGGTTTTCCTGGGGAAGGCTCCACACGGGAATGGAAGGGCTGGGGACTCAAGCTCTCTGCACAGCCGTCCCATGAGGTTTGACTGTTCCAGACGCAGCTCACCCCTGGAAGCCACCGAAAGGCAGGGAGGAAGGACTGCAGTCAGTGTCTGGTAACTGTGTTGGTCGTTTATTTTTTAAATATTTTTTAGTTGTTGATGGACCTTTATTTTATTTATTTGTATGTGGTGCTGAGAATCGAACCCAGCGCCTCACACATGCTAGGCAAGCGTGCTACCACTGAGCCGCGACCTCAGCCCCTCCGAGTTGGTCATTTTGCTCAAGTGTTTTCTGTGTCTTCTGAGGAACTGTCCCTCCACGACTAATCTGATATTGTCCCCTACGACTTTCCCTGGACACATTCTGCTTCAGTCACACTGGTCTCTTTGCTTTTCCTTGAAGGCATCAAGCATTGGTCTTTCCTCTGCCTCAACTATTCTTCCCCGAGATCTCGAAAGAACTTGCTCTCTTATTAGTTTCTGCCAAAATGTCACCTTATTAGAGAGGTGACCTGATCTCTCTGAACATCCCTATTCAATTCACGGTCCTCTGGGCACTCATAGCCCTGGTCCATTTCTCCAGATGCTCATCAGCACTTAATTTTGCTATATCTACATATACACATGTGTGTATCTGCACTTGTGTGTGTGTGTGTGTGTGTGTGTGTGTGTGTTTCATCTATTAGATGCTAATAGGACACAAGTCCTATAAGAACAGACTGTGTTTGTTTATTGCTGTATCTCTGCCTCTAAAACAGTGCTGGGCATCAAAATAGTAGGCACTCAGAATGCATATCAAATTGAATTATTTCCCCTTAGTCTTGATGATTCCCTCTCCTAATTTTTTAATGTTTGTGTTCCATGTTGGAACTTAAACCCGAGTGTGGTAGGATTAAGGGGGTGATGAAGTCATGCGGAAGAGCCTTCGTGAGTAGATTACTGTCTTTTAAAAGTCTCACAGGGGCAATTCGCCTCTTCCCTCCCTTCTCACCTGTGGGGTGCACAATGAGGCACCATCTTGGGAGCAGAAAGCAGCACCCACCAGGCACCCACCCTGCAGATATCTTGGTCTTGGACCTCCCAGACTCCAGGATTGTGAGGAGTCACGGCCCAGTCTCAGGCATTTTGTTACAGCAGCACAAATGGACAGGACAGCTTCTGTGGCAGGCTTTGTGGAAGGTCTCTTCCATTTGTGCTGTTTGTCGATTTGTTTGTTTTCTAAACCTGTAAGAAAGCTGTGGAAGCTGCTATTCCATTTAGCCTGTCAAGTGATCAAGGGCCTCAAGAAAGACTTCATCTCTGTTCCTGCCATGGCGGGTGTGAACCCCCACAACTGCACAGCCGTCTCCCACTCAGTCTTGCCCCTGGGCCTCACCTGGTGCTGTGCTCCCCACCAAACATGAACCCCCTTCTGGTTAGCCAAGCTCTGCTCAGATGCCAGGCTTCACCTCCGCCTTCTTCCCGCTTCTCTACCTGTTCTTTTCTGAGTCCTTGCATCTGCCCAACATTGCTTAGTACTCAAATCTTGGGCGAGTCTCCTCTTCCTAATCAGACCGTAGTTCTCTGGGGATAGAAAGCAGGTCTTCCACAGCCTCCACGTCTTCTGCACCCTCCTGCCGAGGAGCACCATGCAGGGAAACAGGGCTTCTGTCCTGATCCACTTGTCAAAAAATAAATGAAATGCTAGGGCAGTGAGAAACGTTTCCCCTTCTCCTTGATGAGACTCCTCCTACCTCCATGCGGGTGTCTCTTCGATCACTGAGTGAGATAATAAAAAGCACAGCGAGGGGAAAGTCCACATCCTGCTGCCCACATTGTCACTTACTCTGTGCTAGCCAGCCTAAACATAAACCCTAGAATCCCAGACCATGAGACAGAAGGAGCCACGGAGGGCATCGGATCCCAGCCCTGACATTAACTGAGGCGCCGAGTTGCAGGCAACAGATGCCAGCGTGGACCTAACTCAGCAGGGACAGAACATAGTCAGGGGATACCAGAAGGCTGTGGAACCAGGTGGGGAGCAAAGCCCAGCATCCGGCCAGAGCAGAGGGCAGGTGAGGAAACTGCTGCTCTCCTGGACACTGGATCTGGCTCATACTGCAGAGAGCAGCAGTGTCCACCTGCAGAGCATCTGCTGTGCTCCTCTTAGCTCAGGCTCTGACCAGTGGGCATGTTATTGGGGGAGTGTGGCTCACCCATCCCTCCCCTGTCTGCAGAGGAGGGCAAGAAACCTGCACATTTCACATTCTTTGGTGAGATGTGTGCACAGCTTCTGACCCAAATTCTTTAGAAGGGAGAGTCCCCAAACAGAGGAAGGGGCTTATTATGGTTTGGATATGAGGTATCCCCCAAAAGCTCATGTGTGAGACAATTCAAGAAGATTTAGAGGAGAAATGATTGTGTGATGAGAACCTTAACCCAATCAGTGAATTAATCCCCTGATGGGATTAACCAAGTGGGGACTGGAGGTGGGAAGGGTGTGGCTGGAGGCGGTGGGTCCCTGGTGATGTACCTTGGTATGTATCTCGGATCTGGTGAGTGGAGTCTCTCTCTGCTTCCTCATCATCACATGAGCTGCTTCTTCCATCAGGTTGTTCCGCTTCCCTTGGAGCCTAGAGGAATGGTACCAGCTGTCTATTACTAAGCCCTCTGAAACCGTGAGCCCCTAAATCAACTTTCACTCCTCTGAAATTGTTCTCATCAGGTCTTTTAGTCACAGCAGCAACAAAGCTGACTAAAACAGGGCTCAATGGCAAACGCTCCCTCCACCCCTCACAGCACGACACAGGCCACAGTGGTGGAAGAGACTGAGCAAATCCCCCCCAGCCAGGTCACATTGCAGATGACTAGGAGGTAGGATGAGGATCGGGTCTCCTGGCTCCATGACTCACCGTCTTTCCACTCAGGTGGGAAAGTTGGAAAGGCAAAGTGGGACACATCACAGGCAGTGAGTGGTCAGTGATCCACATCTCTAATAGCCATCTCGGATTTGATCGCAGCTCTGCTACCCCCTCAACAGTCTCAGTTCAGACATCTCCCCCTCCAAGCACCTCTCCCAAGTCCCCGAGCTCCCTTGGCTCCATGATTGAGCACTGTCACCAAACTTATCTATGTGGCAATTGTCAACATGTGTCTACCTCCTCGCCAGGGTATGAGCAGCTCAAGGACTGA